GTCAGCGTAAATAATATTTTCCTTCAACTTGCCCAACATTGTTTTGCCATTATTCTTTATTAATGCCCGAAATCGAGTCGAAGGGCGTGTATTTGTTTATCATTTGTAGTCTAAGTTTTAATGTTTAATTGTCTATCTACGATTTCTATTTTAAGTAATAAATTTACATTTTTCTAGTTATAAATAAAATTATTATAATGTTTTAAAATGTCGAGTATTGGCCGCAGCTGGCATGCGTTGTGATGTAGGGTAGCACTTGTCAAAGGGGTCGCTCAAGCTATATAGCTTTGAGGATGGGAGCGACCATAGGAAGGGTGGACAAACTAGAGCCTCCAGATCACCAGGAGTGCTAAAAAGGGGCAAGTAAGCCGATAAGAGTTCAATTTTCCCTCAACTTTTATTTATGTGTTGTCTGTTTCTCTGTCCCGGTTTAAGCTTGTTGTAGCACGCATTCATTTCTGTTTAAAATTATGCAAAGGCAACCCAAGATCCGAGCAAGACCATCACTCCCGTAGCCGACGAGCCGAAGCCGGAAAAATATGTTGCGTGCGCTCCGATCTCGGGCTAACAACTTGCCTGTAACATTCATTTTTAGTGTAGCGATTCGTTACAATGTGTACGAGCGAAAAGCGGTCAGCGTGGAAACGCTGACTTAGCATTGTTTATAAGTGGCGATCATATTTCGCGCTCACTCGCTGCTATGTTTATACCAAGTTTTTGTTACAATGCGATCTCAATACATGTGCATACTACTTTACATACACTTCAGTACCCTTCAGAAAAAAAGCTAACTTCGGCACGCCAAATTTTTATATACCCTTGAGGTTGCAGTTTGATCACTAGGAATCAATGCAATATAAATTTAATAGCTTATGTCAAAAAAACAAGAAAAAACAACAATCAAGAAATACATAACATATGCACACCTTCTGCATACATACCCTTCAGTACTGAAATTCCTTTCCTGTTCGATTCCAGTTGTCATGTTTAAAAAACAAAAACAAATCTCATGGGTTTAGCTTAGAGAGCTCCGAAATAGAGTATGTAACGAAAATTCTACCTATGTTCGGCTACTGCAGATGTTCTGACTTCATATTCGTTGTTGTTTTCGAAGGGATTCGGAGCAGCGGTTCCGATATTAAAGTGGGATGAATAAAAATATTTACCGACAAACAAAAAAAAATTCGATAGTCTCGTTATTTAAATCAATTTTTCGCAGCTCTAGTGACAGCTAAAGTATTCACAAGTGTTTTGCATAGTAATTTATTAAATATTGTTAAAAGGTAAGTGACTCATTTGTATACAGTTAATAAATTCATTTGCAGAATTGATTTTGAACATGGACTCTTTTTTAACCTAAACGGTGTGAACGGAAAGGCCATTACATTTCCAGAATTTGTTTTCTGTTTAATTGGTGTGTATATATGAAAAATTTTGTCCATTTGGTCCTAATATACATATTATGGACGTTGATGCACTACGGTCAGTGCATTCAAGTGGCCCGTATGACACCAGGCACGTGCCTGTTTGGGTTAGGTGTTAGTAGGCGCGATGGAAAATATAGGACAGAATACGAGGAAATTGACTACCGGCGTGCTGCCAGATTGTTAGCTTGCATGCTTTCTAAGTGTGTTAGTATTAAATATTTTAATTTGGGAAGGGTATCTACGTTAGAGATTAGTGTGTACAAATCATTATAATTTGCACATAACACTCTAAAAGGTTCATGCAGTTCAAAGGAGGTTCTACAGTGGCGCAACACTAATGGGATATAGGATCTAGTAGTTCTACATGGTACATGGAAATTAAGCTGACTCAACAAGTCAGCACTTTCCACATCACCATGTATAAGGTTAAAAATAAAGGTTATCCCTAGCATCGTTCTACAATTGGCTAAGGACGGCAAGTTTATTATCTACTAGAGTAGGAAGGTAATCTTTGGTTTGCATCCCAACTTAAACCGAATAGAGCGAAAAGTATAAAGTTATTTTGAACCAAATGGATGCGTTTACTATGGACGCCGTACTGAGCGCTCCTAACGCAGCATACATATTCTAAGATAGGACGAACTAAAGAAGTATATAAGGATTTAGTGACATAGTGGTCACCACCGTTTAACAAATCCAAGCACACCCAATTCATCAACAGAATTAATTCTTTCCAAAGAGCAGCAATCCAGCGTGTAAGTAGCAATCATAGGCACGACACGAGAGAACGTCATTAGCTTACATTTTGAGCCGTTCAAGTTTAATAAGTTTACACGGCACCAAGTTCGAAAATTATTGAGATCTGTTTGTAAATCCGAGTGGCAGGCGACGTCATTGTATTGCACGGAAAGCTTGACGTCATTCGCGTACATAAGCACTCTGGAGTTAGTCAAGACTTTGGGCAGGTCATTTATAAATAATGAAAACAATAAGGGTCCCAAATGGCTTCCTAGCGGGACGCCAGATGTAACCCTTAGAACATTAGATAAATTATTCTTAAAGAGGACCTTTTGCGTCCTGCGATTCAAATAACTTGAGATCCAATTAAGAAGGTCACTTGGAAAACACATTAAATCGAGTTTTCTTACGAGGACAGAATGGTTAACAAAGTCAAATGCTTTACTAAAATCAGTATAGATTACATCTGTCTGAAAATTATTATGGAAGCCCTTTATAATATAGGAAGAGAGCTCCAACAGATTTGTTGTTGTTGATCTTCGCTTAATAAAACCATGTTGACATGGAGAAATAACTGATCTATTTGTGAGGAGTAATTATATTTTCGAAAAAGTTGGGATAGCCGACAGCTTAGAGATTTCTCTATAATTGTTGGCTTCCAATTTGCAACCTTTTTCCGATTCCTTCCAAATAATGGGACAAAATAATGTCTAAGGACAAGGTAATCAATTTCAGAAGGGGGTAGCACAGGGCGTCGGCACAAAACCTGAGAACACAGACAGGAATAAACTGGCTTGACACGATGTAGATCTAAAAGGAGAGAGCTTTCGTTTAGGCTAAGACAGAAAATTCAGTTTGATTTGGGTATTTCGTAGGAATAAGTCTGGTTAAATACGAAGAGTTTGAATAAGTTGGTTGGCTATTGCCTGATCATTATTTGCGGTGGTATTTTCAACTGACAGCGAGGAAGGATTTGTTTTAGGCTTACGTTTATTGTTAATAAAATTATAAAACTGTTTTGGGTCCTGCGAGAACTGGACCCTACAACGAGTTAAATAGTTTTTATAACACTGCGCGTTCAGCACGGTAAAGTTCGACCGAGCTGATAAATAAGATGAAAGGGCTGATTGAGAACCGGTGAATTTAAATTTAGCATACAGTCTAGATTTTTTATTTTTAAGTCGGCTCAACTCTTTAGTAAACCACGGCGGTTTATTCGAGCTTGGCGGATAATATAACGGAACACATTCAATAAAAAATTAATTCATGGCACTGTAAAAAAGTCCACGGCAACTGCCATGTCAGAGCACATGTATATATCGGACCTGTTGAACTCGTTTATAAAATTATTCAGCCGTTCAAAAACCGTCTTGCGAAAACATAGGACTTTATTGGCTGGACAGTCAGAAATTTTCTGTATGTCACACCCAATATCAAGAGTCATATCGAAAGTTGGATGATAAAGATCTTGGGGCTGCGTCAGAGGCGCCACCCTTGCTAAACTGACTCTCGCTGGATCAGAGACGAAGCAAAGATCGAGCAAGCGCTGTAAGGAATTTCGAACATGGTTGACTTGAGACAGCGAAATGTCGAACAAGCCAGCGATAAAGTCATGTTGTGTATGGAGAGTATTGGTGGAATTATTTGAGCACCAAATAGCACTAGGGATATTAAAATCTCCTAGGACTACCAACTGGGCTCTATCCAAAATTTACTGGAAACCATCTGAATAGCGGAAAGGTGATTCCACTAAATTGGAAGTTCCGACAATGGAGGTATGTAGGAACAGGTAATAAAAATGGAGCTACCTTTGATAGATAGCTTCACCCAGAGGAATTCAACATCGTTGCATTCATCGAAGGTTAATAATTCTGACGTGAGTGAGGAGTCTACCGCTATAAGAACACCCCCGCGTCTGATAGGGCGATCTAGCCGATATACTGTGAACACAGCTGGAAAAACTTCGGAATCTCCGGCTTCTGTAAGCACAATAACCTGAGATGCAAACGAAAGGCTATCAGAATACAAGTTATGAAGCTTACTACGTAAGCCTCTTGCATTCTGATAGGAAATACCTAGGGAGTAGGTTAGTTTTTTGGGTCGTGATTGAGAGACGTAGAATGCGCAGAGGTATGATCAGGCCTGGGAAGAGTTATTCCTACAGGCCGTTTTTCTTTCTATATGTATATACATGTTTTTTATTTATAGATAGACGGTTATATCCGTTTAGGGGAAATGCAAGAAGATGTGCCAAGAAAAATTGTGGTAATCATTGAACAAATTATAAAGTTTTCCTCTGGGATTACGATTCCTTGGTGATTCCGCCTGGTATTGAGAGTCCTATCTGATTATACTCTAAATTCCCCTACGATTACTGCCTAATTCCCTGTCGAAGTCCTGGCTGATTCCGTACAGAATCCAGTTCGAAATTCCCTTCTTATTCGAAATTCACGACAAATTCCTAGCAGGATTCCTTACTGATTTCAGGATAATTCCTCAGGTAATCCGAATTCAGGTTTTTTAAAGCCTACTGTATGAAAATTCTTGGATGGTTTGTATGAAAATTCCGGTATGATTCAGGATGGAGGCCTCTCCAATCCAACCTGATTCAGACCTGAATTTAAAAGGAATGGCACTGAAGTGTATGTACATAGCTTTCTAAATACTTAGATATAAGCATTGCATGGAGTCTCAGTGATGCCATTAAATAAATTACATAAATCTAGAAATAGATATACATAGCCGTTTCTATACCGTTACCATTTATAACCATTTATTAATTTAGATAATGCATAGATTTATTGAGCATCATTTATGTATGATACAAATACTTACAGGATTGTATTGCAACGCCGTAATATATGCTTGAACTGCAGATTCCATATCACGGGCAGCCACTAATGCAGCTGCTAAGTTTATATATCCATCAATAAAGTCCGGTTTAAGACGAACAGCTCTTCGATAGTTATCTAATGCTTCCTGCAATTGCCCCCGTTCTTTGTAGACGTTTCCTAAATTGCTAAAAGAAATAGAAATGTATTTACTATTGTAAATTGGATGTAAGACTAGATGCTAATATATATATTTAATTAAATGTTCAATGAACGAGTATCTAAATGTTTAAGAGCTCTCCTGGTTTTTTTTATACTTAATTTTTATGCTGATATTCTTACGGTCATTTTAAGACATCGGCCCTAACAATATCTCATTACTTGTGGATTCTACAGCCATTAGAAGTGAGCGCTGCCGATATGCCTTAGAGTACTGTCTTTAAACGTTTCTTTCAAAACGTTTTTCAAAACGGTGAACATAATTTCTCAAAAAATGCTGGACCGATTCTCTTCAAGTTCTCTACGGCATGCCTTTTACTGGCTTTATCTCCGCCATTCGTAAATATTTTCTTTCAATGAGTATTTTTTAGTTTAGCATATGTACTTTGATGTACTAATAAATAAAAAGTTGTATTCTTAATAACTATGTCAAAATGAATTTTTTAAAAACTCTCAAATTTTCAGGCGTAAAGGGTGGTGTACCCCCTTAAAGTTCTTTAAAACGATTATTTTTAACATGGTAACAACAAAAATGGTCAGATTGATCAAGATTAAAAGAAGTGGTAATTTTCTAAAATAAGTTTCGAAATAATTTCTTGCAAACGGACCATTTGTAATTTTTATAAAAATAAAGTCATATAAAAAGAATATTTGGTTTAAAAGCAATATATTTTGCTTTCTAAAATGACACAGAGAACCCAAAGAGTCAAAATAAAATGCAAAAGGACATATGCGATTACCAATATTGGTAGTTTAAATTTGAATTTTCCCCTTCTTTCACCGGGACTAAATTTAAATTTAAACAAGAAAAAATGCAAAAAAAAAAAAAAAAAAAAAAAAATGCAAATTTTGGTACGCCGAAGTTTTAATACCCTTGCAGTTTGATCACTAGGTATCAATACAATATAAATTATATAAATTTATGTCAAAAAAACAAATTTATAGTTTTACAGTTACAATTTTACATTCACACTTTTGGGTTTTCCTCATAAAATTAAAGCCGAAATTCTATAATAATTTATGTCAAAAAAACAAATTTATAGTTTTACAGTTACAATTTTACATTCACACTTTTGTGTTTTCCTCATAAAATTAAAGCCGAAATTCTATAATAATTAAAAATGGCTATCTCAAATTATTTGAAAATCTGTTATAGACTAGCGTCAAAACTTAAGGACTGGTTTACGTAGAAAGTGAAATACGGGCATTGTTAGATCTATTAGGCTGTTTATCCTGATAAGGAATATATATACATTATATGGTCGGAAATGTCTCCATCACTGCGTTGCAAACTTCCGACTAAAATTATAATACCCTGCAAGGGTATAAAAATAACTACTTAATATTTTAAAGTCAAACAAAATACATTATTAAGATATAGATAGATAGAAATGAATCTCATAATTCATTAAATAATAAATTGCATTAAATTTTTACATCACGCTTTGCTGAAATAAGAGCTTGAACTGGTTTTTTAATTAATTAATTTTAAATTAAATAATTTTTTGAACATGCCACGTTCGGTGCCATGTATAAGCTGAAGTTACATATGTATATAGGTCCCGCAGAAGTTGAGTATTTGGAAGCGCACAATGAATAGACAGAACTCTTTGTATGCAGTAATCTATATATATAAAAATGCTCTGTTTGTGTCTACTTCCTTCATAGACTTGAAAAGTTCTGAACCGTTTAAGCCCAAATTTTTACACAACATGCGTTGAGGTTCCAGCTCGGTTATTGTATACTTTTGATGTTGATAGCTTATCTGCGTTTGCGAATATATCCATTTTTTTAGCGTTTCCCAGGGCCCCTACTGCTGCGCCCTCTACAGGCAGCCAGCTGAAACAAAGCATTTCCTGTCAAATATTCAAAACACATTGAAAGAAGAAATTGGAGATTAAAATTTTATTTTTTTTGTTCAGGTTCAGTAGAAACGAAGTCATGCCACCCAGGAAGTCGAGTTTGGGTCGTCGTACTCGCAATACAGAAGCAAAAAGACGTAAGATTACGAATATGACTGACGAAGAGCGGGCCTCCATCCGAGAGACTGAGCGGCTAAGAGCAATGCAGATGCACAACGCGGAATCAGCAGAAAGACGAGCAGATAGGCTTGAGAGAAAACGATTGAGAGTTAGGTAGTCGCGTTCTGCAGCAACTGATTTGATTCACTCTCAAAATAATGAACGCGACAGGGCAAGCTGAAGCTTGGATGGTCCAGGAGGAACGGGGAAAACATTCCTTATTACATTGATTCTGGCTACGGTTCGAGCTAACAAGGACATAGCTTTAGCTCTTGCTTCATCTGGAATTGCTGCGACATTGTTACCTGGGGGAGGACTGCTCATTCAGCGCTGAAGTTGCCGTTGAATATGCAAATCATCGAGACTCCTACGTGCAACATTTCCAGAGCATCTGGCATGGGAAAAGTATTGCAAAGATGTAAACTCATTGTTTGGGATGAATGCACAATGGCACACAAAAATTCGCTGGAGGCTCTCGATCGATCATTGCGGGATTTGCGTGGAGATGTCCAACCATTTGGGAATGCGTTAATATTGCTCGCAGGGGATTTCAGGCAAACGTTGCCTGTGATTTCCCGATCGACACCAGCTGACGAGATAAATGCTTGCCTAAAATATTCTATATTGTGGCAACATGTACGTACATTACAGTTGAAGACGAATATGCGTGTCCAGTTACAGAACGATAACTCAGCCGACGTATTCAAACGACAGCTACTGGACATTGGGAACGGAAAGCTGCCAGTCAATGAAACGTCGAAAAAAATAGTATTGCCCGAGAATTTCTGTAATTTAGTTACATCGAAGGAAGGATTATCCAAAAAATGTTCCCCGATATCCGAATAAATTATAGGAATCACGATTGGCTCAGTGGACGAGCGATTCTCGCTGCCAAGAACAAAGATGTCTACCAGCTCAACCATGTAATCCAATCCAGCATAGAAACTGACGAAATTACATATAAGTCGATAGACACCGTTGTGGAGGCAAAGGAAGCAGTTAATTACCCTACGGAATTTCTAAACTCACTTGATCTGCCTGGAATGCCACCACACATATTGAAATTAAAAATAGGGGTGCCGATTATCATGCTCCGCAATATAAATTAGCCGAAACTCTGCAACTGTACGCGACTCGCAGTCAAGAAATGGATGAACAACGTAGTAGAAGCAACGATCATAACAGGTCCTTTCAAAGGTGAAGATGTCCTCATTCCTAGGATTCCTCTGTTCCCGACTGATACACCGTTCCAGTTCAAGAGATTGCAGTTTCCCATTCGTTTGGCGTTCGCAATGACCATTAATAAAGCTCAAGGTCAATCTCTGGAGTTGTGTGGTCTAGATTTGGATGCAGATTGTTTTTCACACGGACAATTATATGTTGCGTGTTCCCGTGTCGGAAAACCAGATAGTCTTTATATTTACGCGGAGAATGGAGAAACGAAGAATATACACCCACAAGTATTACAGAATTAAATTAATTTGAAAATTATTCTTTTTTGTTTTACTTATTTCTTATGCGTGCAACCACAATATGCCACAGCGAAGCGTGGCAGGGTACAGCTAGTACATATATAAAAACGGAAAATTAAATAAATACAGTAAACTACATGGCGACCGTGACAAAGTGACTAAGTGACATTAAATAAAATGAAACTAAATGGCCGCAAAATGAATTAAAATAAACATGGTCCACAAAAAGAAAATTAACAACTAAAAGATTTAATGTAAACCAGAGTAGTCTTCTTACTTTAGAAAAACTTTGTTCTGTACACAACACAAAACAACATTAAATAAACAACAAAAAGAAAAAGAAAAACTGATCGAAGATGTTTATCTGAGGCAGACGTCAAAGGTTTGAGCAATGCTGATGATTGCAAAAACAGTAAACTGCAAAACAGGCTCGTAAGTCGTCACAATACATTCATGGTGGACCGCTCTTAAGTCATCACCGGAAGTTAAAATGGCACACGGCTATTAGGAATTATAGCCTGCGCAAGTGTATGCAGATTTTGGGCCGTTGTCGGGGACAATTAGACGAAATTTAACCGAACCCACAAAAAAACAACCGGCGAAAGTACAACGAAAAAGTATAAACAGTCAATTTCCTATGGTCAAACGACTGGAAAAACAAAACAAGCAAAAAAAATAAAAATAAAATAAATAAATTAACAAACTATTGTTCAAAATGGAAAATAAAGCATTTTATAAACTACTAGCTGTACCCTGCCACGTTTCTCTGTGGCATATTGTGGTTAAGAGGGCACTTCTGAATACATCAAGGTTATGACAAAAGCATCTTCCTGGCATAAGGTGAAGAAGGCAATCAGAATTGTCGTAGGCGGATTCAGGACTCTTTCTTGCACATTTAGTTCTATGAAATAGACACGTGAACCATTCTCCAAATTGACTGCCAAGTGAACTACAGCTGGATAGCGTTCATGAATTGGGAACGAAAAAATTCGCCATGCAGCCTCGTTGCTGCTTATGTATCTTCCAGCCTGGTATTGAGAGATTTCATCGACAACTCGTACTGCATTGCTGTCCCCATTTTCTGCCTGAACACCAAAAACTGCCATATCGCTGCCTTTATTCACGTACTTGCAGTTATATTTAATCGATTTCACGGAATTGCAATATTCTACGTTGATGTGCGCTTTGTATGATTTTGACAATAGTGGTGAGTATGGAACCACCCAACGATTGTCTACCTCAATATCACCAATTCTCATGTTTAAAGTTGCCGAAGTCCCTCCATCTTCAGTTGACCGTCTCCTATACAGAGGATATCCATCGTCCCCTGTTACGGTGTTGGCTGTAAATGATCGAGGATATTGCTTGGAACACTTCCCGTCTACCATGTATGGTGAACATGGGTTGAGGGTACCACAAGGGCCATGGATCATGTTCTTGATGACAATTTCATGCAAATCCGTATCAACCTCGGCC